ACTAATCAAGGAGAGAAGCAACTTAGAACTGAGGAGAAATTTCCTGACAGTTAGAACAATTAATCAGTGGAACAGTTTGCCTCCAGAAGTTGTGAGAGATGTTGGATAGCCATTTGTCTGAAACGGTATAGGTTTCCTGCCTAGGCAGCAGGTTGAACTAGAAGACCTCCAAGGTCCCTTCCAACTCTGCTATTGTATTGTATTGTATTATAATTAAGGACTGGATGCCAAATCTCGAAGTACAGTAAGTGCTGTGTAATATTGTGATAAGAATGGAGTCTCTGCAAATTTACATCCTCTCCTGTTGTCTCGTGATAATTGGTTTTATTTCATTATTTGTGAGCTGCCCAGAACCATTTGGAGTATCCAACATTAGATTAGGGAGACCTTGGTATGATTCATCAAGATGAATTTTTTGCTTTTTATAAAGAACATCACTGTCTTTTCATTCTCATCTCAAATAAGTATTTATTGTCAAGGAGCCTTATTAATGTTGTTCTTTAGAAGTAGCAGAGTTAAAAGCACTGCCTCTCTCTTTAACTATCTTTGGGTAGGAAGGGGTGGGAAATAGTAATTAGCCTGATATCTACTGGGCTTCCAAAGTTGAGAATGGGTTTGGAAACGGATGCCACCATTTTCGTGCTACATCTTAAGCAGGATGTTGCTACCCACATATCACAGTTAAAGTACAAATAAAATAATCTGAACAAACCAGTGCCTCAAAAATTCCTACAACTTAGCTATAACACATATATAGCCTCATTTCAATATTTCTTCATTCTATTTGGCTACTTGTTTGTTTTACAGTATTTATAACCTTCTCCAATCCCAAAGGACCCTGGCAGTACACCCATATCAACACAAACAGTGCTGATGATTTTACTTAGTTTGGATAATGTAACATCTGTATGAAAACAATCAAGGTCCAAGAGCACCAAAGACCTCTCATTTCAACCCTGAGCTATAAATATTCTCTTATATCACAAACAGGAGTGCTTGAGGGTGCGGCTAAAAGTCAACATGATGGCCATGCAAACATAATGGAAGCTTTGGCTATTTTTTTATGTGCTTTGTATGTATAACGTACATAAAAGGGACGCGGTGGTTCAGTAGCTAAGATGCTGAGCTTGACGATCAGAAAGGCTGGTGGTTCGGCGGTTCGAATTCCTAGTGCCGTGTAACGGAGGGAGCTCCCGTTACTTGTCCCAGCTTCTTGCAACCTAACTGTTCGAGAGCATGTAAAAATGAAAGTAGAAAAAATAGGACCCACCTTTGATGGGAAGGTAACAGCATTCCATGCACCTTCAGCATTTAGTCATGCCAACCACATGACCATGGAGACATCTTTGGACAGCGCTGGCTCTTCGGCTTTGAAATGGAGATGAGCACCGCCCCCTAGAATTGGGAATGACTAGCACATATGTGCAAAGGGAACCTTTACCTTTATATGTAACATGCATAAAGTGTAAGCTTTGCTTTCATGTTGAATTTTTTTTAAAAAACCATATTCTGTGAACACCTCGGAACACAAAGAAAACCAGAAATACCATAATAAATTGGTAATCAGAACAATGTTCAACCCCCAAAATAATCACAACTAGTAAGAATAAGCCCACATGGTGACAAATGCCTTCTCTATACCAGGGGTCTCCAACCTTGGCAACTTTAAGACTGGTGGACTTCAACTCCCATAGTTCCTCAGCCAGCAACTCTGGGGGTTGAAGTCCACAAGTCTTAAAGTTGCCAAGGTTGGAGACCCCTTCTCTACACAACAGCCACTTACAAGTCTGTGCTTCTTGTTACAGGGAGCCGAAAGGAAAATCCGGGATGAAGAAAGAAAGCAAAACAGAAAGAAATCGAAAGGCCAAGTTTCTCAGGCAACTTGCCCTAATGGTGAGGATGCAAACTTTTTCCTCTTGGTCAGTACAGTGCTCCATCTGGTGTTAATAATGTCTTCCCAGTCAGTAACTTCCTCTTCCATTTTCCCTGAACAGCAGAAGGGAAGATGACTCCTGTGCCTCTCCAAAAGAAGAATGACATCACCTATTTCAAAACTATGGCTGACCTGGAGTCCCAGCCTGTTCTTTTCATACCAGATGTTCATTTTGGCAATCTCCAAAGAGCTGGGCAGGTAAGAAATCAGGCAATGTGAAGATCTATCCTGCCTTGCAACCGTTTGGTCCCTCCTCTATTTCTCGGAAAAAAATGAGCATGATCCATTCTGTGTAAATAACTTTTGGGAGTCCACCAGTGGTGGGTCCCATTCCAACCAGTATGGTTGGAACAGGCCTGGTGGCGTCCACATGGATGTGCGCAGCACACACATGCGTCTTAGCACCTCCACGAGCCGCTGTGACGCTCCAGCTGTTCAGTGGAGTATCGCACAGGCGCTACACGCACCATGCGCAGAAGCACTGAAGACTTAAAAGACTGGTAAGGCGCTCGGGCGGGCAGGTGGGCCCTCCGGAGCACCGTACCGGAACGGTATGCAACCCACCACTGGAATCCATTGACATAAAGATGAAGCTGCCTTCTTCCAGATCAGATTATAGCAATAGCAATAGCAGTTAGACTTATATACCGCTTCATAGGGCTTTCAGCTTTCTCTAAGCGGTTTACAAAGTCAGCATATTGCCTCCAACAACAATCCGGGTCCTCATTTTACCCACCTCGGAAGGATGGAAGGCTGAGTCAACCCTGAGCCGGTGAGATTTGA